AAATATTCATTGTAATGGTACACGCAGCTTGTGGTGTTTATAATCAGCTTTGTCCTTTTTATGTTCCAAGGCACAGCACAGAAGCTTTTAGACTTAACAAGTTAAATAGCTACGAATGATGTGCACCTGCTAGAACCAAGATTCATTCAAAGTTGAGGAAAAAATACTGTGTAAATTTTATGGTGGAATGAATGCATGCACCCAAAAGGAAGAATTTGGTCTTGGTTGCAGGGGCATGCATATCGAATAAACTCAGATGTAACAGATACAGCTCCAGATTTTCAGCAGTGTAACTGGGAAGTTGTCTGTCCTAGAATGTCAGATGATTAAGTAAGTCCCTGTAAAACGTTTTTGAGCTATTTCAATTGCTGACTTAATCTCCTGGAAAAGGAAAAGGCAGTGGAGAGGCGTTAAAGAAGTCAGATCTTTGCTTTGGGGCTCGGTGACATTCTCACTGACTTCAACAGCAAAACTGACTGGAAAAAGAGGTAGAGCAACTCGTTATGGTGCAGCTTTGCTTTTTATCATGCCACAAAGACCTTTTAGTACACAGGCAGTGATCGTAATCCTTGCATATATTTTCTTTTGGCAAATAAACTGCTGTGATGCAGACAGCCTACTAAGTTGTGATGGTTTTTGTTTAGAGGCAGCATGAAAATTAAGAGAAGTGACTTGCCAGCATACTTTTGTGACCTTGTATATATTCTTTACTTATATATTCTTTTAACTGGTAATTTTAGGTAGCGGAGCCGTGACACGCTTTGCCAGCTGTGCCTAGCGTTGTCCACCTGTAGTCCATCTTCACCGGTGCAGTCCACCTTTCCTCTGAGGGGCAGTGGCATGGTCTCAGCATGGAAAATTCCAGGATGGGGAAGAAAACAACCAGTATTCTTTCCTTGCCTTTGTTTTATTTTGTTTTTTAATCTACTGGGGGCAGCATAGATGAAGTGAGCCTTTTGGCAGGGACAGTGACTGGAGTGAGGAGAGGGGAAACGGCTTTGTGGGCCAGCGCTAGGGGAATATTGCATGCAAGGGGTGGGGGCAATATTAGGAAGATGTCATTTAGTCATCTGGAAGATAAAGCATTGATTCGAGGTTAGGCTGAGGTAGAAGTATGTAGGGTCTGGGAATGAAAGCCAGATGATGAAACCGGATATAGCAAAAAGCAATGAGCCAGCAAGGAGATTCAGAGAAAAACGTTGTTGCCAATGGAGAGAGAGGTGAAGAAGGCGCTTTTCTTGCTATTACAGAACCAGCATTTAGTTACTGTAATAATACTGCCTATTTATACAACACCTTGCTGAAAGTATGTGTTTTTCTATCAGCCTTTCCCGTCCAGATATTTAGACACTTCATTTGAGGGAAATGAGCGTTGCTGAATTTGGGGGATTTTTTGCTGTTCAGACTTCTGCAGGCTAGTTCTGATATTTCTTTTCCTTTGGGTACTGGTTGGGGAGCAGCTGATCTGCCTTCGCATCTAAGCGTCAGGAGGAATGGAAAGGCCGTTAGCGCGTGTGCTCCGCTCACGGCGCTGCTGGGCCCCCCTGAAGGGCAGCGTGCCCCAGCAGGGCGTTGCGTTTTCCATGTGCGCGGCAACGTCCTAGCAGCGAGCAGGGAGCCAAGTCTCTAGGAGCTCTTCTAAATCGTTCTTTAAAATACTTACCCGAGTCAAACAGTCGTAACACCCTGGAACAGGCCACAGGTTAGATTCAAGGCGCTTAATTTTTTTCCTTATGAAAGTAAATGTTTACACTTTTTCTTTTGTGAAACACCAACCAAAGTTGGGGGGGGGGTGAGGGCAGGGAAGGAAAGAAAAGAAAAGCTATATGTTGATCAAAGCATACTGCTGTGGGCGTCCCTTCGGCCGGCAGGCTGCTGGCACGCTGGCAGGCTGCCCGGAAGGAGCAAGCAGGCCGGTGGCTCGGATTGCAGTGTGTACACCTGACGTGGGAGTCGAGGGCCAGGCAGTCCGGCTCGGCGTGGGAACGGCTTCACAAAGCCACCGTCTTCAGCCCTGTGGTACTTAATTAAAATACCTCATCCAGGGCCTGTTTATTATGGCAGCGCCAACCTGTGTGTTGTGCTTTTTGTTTTTCCTCCCTCTCTCTCTCCCTGCCTTTCTTTTTTTTTTCTTTCTGATTTGTTTCATGCGGCCAGTAAGGCCGGTGAGGCGCCGCTTGGGTTGCTGCTCTTAGACACTGACAACGGAGGAAATTAAATTCTGAGGTGGAATCAGTTAAAAGCCTGACCAAATCAGTGTTGTTTTTCTATAGCAACTGAAACAACATAATTATTTAAAGGATCCATTTTTATTGCTAATGAATTTTTAAAGACAGTGAGTTTTTACATTTTGTTTGTACTAGGACCCTCTTAAATACATCTTGGGATTTTTTTTAAGAGCGTACAAGCAGTTGAGCTCAGCAAGACCACTGTTAGATGAGAGGAGCGATGGCCTCTGGAGCTCCAAGTCCCTGTAAAGTAACGTGCCTTTAAAATACTTTGCATCTTTAACAGTATTACTGTTTTGGAGGAGGAGAAGTTTGTATTTATTTGGTCAACTGTATTCGAAATAGTATAGTATATCCGTAATATCCCTGCTGGCAAGCCTGGGTCTAAAAACTTGAGACCTGGAGCATTCGCTTACACAGGGTAGAGAGCTCTTCTGATCGTACGAGGCAAAATCTTGCATTTGTGTTCAGGTAAGCTAATGACAAGAAAAGCATAGGGGAGTTCTGACCTCACAGATGCTTATGCTTTATTTAGTTTCCTCTTTCTCTCTCCTTCAGTAAGTCTGCCTGGGGTAAGGAAGTGAAGCAGAGGCGAAAGCTCTTGCAGAATGGGGCCTTACTGTACAAAGTTACTGGAAAAATTAAAGGACCCCTTTAAAGTAAAGGAAACCCTATGGAAATGCATAATTATGCTGATTACTCAGTCTCCCCACTGCTCTAAGTATCTTTTTCCCTTATAAAACTTAGTATGCAATATGCCGTAGAGCGCACTGATTGCTATCATAGCAAAGTGCGCTCCCTGTTAACACTAAAAGTAGTCGTATCCTTAGGGGCCGTCACTGGGGGGCAAATTCTATTTGTGAGGGAGATTCGGGTTTCTTCCTTTTATGGGAGTGATTATAACGGCAGAAATTGTTTGTATCAAAGTTGAGAGTTCTTGTGTATTTTCTCATCCTAGAAATGCATACGTTTTATTTGCAGTAGGTTTTACTGTTGCATTTGTTCAAAAAAAAAAAAAAGGCTAAAGAGTTTGAAGGGGGCAGCTTGAGGAATTTTTTCCATCGAGATACAATCAAGGGCAGGAAATCATAGAAGCAAGAGTTGTGGTTTTGCCTCCATATTTTTATTAGTTAATTAAAGTATAACAACTCTTAACTTCATTTTAGGTTTACTGTTCCTAGAGTTCAGAAATATTTTAAGAGGTCAATAATGCTTTCTTTGGCTTTCAGTCGTTCTGTGTGGGATAAGCCCGCGCAGCGAGCAGTGCAGTTTTCCAGATGGTTTGCAGAATGTGTGTGCGTGCGCTCGTGTCTACGTTTGTTGATGGTGGGAAACAATCCATCTTTCCTCATCTGCGCACCACCCTATAAGGATGAAAACCACAGGAAAGAAATGTGTATAGCCTGACATCTGTAAGCTAACTTACAATATCTGATTAAAGCTCGGGAGCCCGAAGTGCTTAAAGCTACCCGTTGACATGCATTTTTACTTAATGATCAAGAGGTGCTGATTATGAGTGGGAGTGCAGAGGGTGGGCAGGGGGCAAGAATCGGGAGAGAAAAATTTAAGACTGTAGGTGTGTATTTAGTTTCACGAGAACCAAAAAAAAACAAAGACTCCATTGTATACTGAAACATGGGTTTTCTTTCTGAAGTTGCGATGTTTCTTTTTTAAAGTGCCGTAAGACATCTGTCGGCGTTTTCTTCTCAGTGCGTAGAGCTGCTTAGAGACACGCACTTAAAGGGCGTACGAGGGAAGCAGATAGAGCCATGCAAGTGTCATATAACTGTCTTTAATAACGGGAGCTCTTCCAACACTCGGAGCCAAATCATCTTTCAGTAGAAAGGATAACATTTAGCAGAGCAGGGCGAGGGGAGGAATAAAGGGGAGGGGAAACGCAGCACCACCTCATGCTGACACCACAGAAGTTTCCCTAAGCTTTCCCTCTTTCTCCCTCTGTGTATATATTTTTTTAATCAGCTGGGGCTCGTCCCTCCCCTGCTTTTTTACTGTATTTTTATAGTTGGAATTCTACTTTCCTAATTTCTCTTGTTTCACATTTAACTTCTTCAGAGAATTTCATTAATAGTTATTGCAATTAAAAATAATAAATAAACTCAGCACCAGCTGCTCACATGGCTGTTGTAGCATATCTGGAACATAATGTGGTCTGTTCAGGGCAGCCGCACAATGCAATTTATCCCCACACCTGAGGGAATGAATTTCACAACTATAATTGCTACAATATAATTCTTATTAATGTTGTGCTATAATTCCTATTAATTCCAAAGGGCTAGTAAATGCATTAGGACTTGTCAACATATTATTTTACACTGTTTATGATCTGTAGAATTACGCTCTTCAGTATTGTATTGCATAAAGAAAAGCCTTAAAATTAGCTTTAATTGCAAGGGGGAAAAGAAACATTTTCTATTCGGGCACTGCAAAGAAGGAAGGATCGTGTTGTTGGAGAACTAATGAAATTGCATTTTAAATCAATCCTTTGAACTTTATGCCGTGCAGTAAGCTGTTTATGAAAATATATAAATGTCTGTCTTGGTTATTAGAAAAGGAACCACTGGTATCTTTGTGTAGGAATAAATCACTGTAACAAAGACAGCTTTATACAATTAAAAGTAACTGTCTTCCCGCAAAGCAAGACAAAAGTAGGAAAATCGCAAGTCATTGTAAGCGGTGTAATAAACGCAGAATGTGTTACCTGGCCGTCCTCTTATTTTATTCCTGTTTTATCTCACTGCCCTGGTTTTCTAGGTAGTGAATATGATGAGGAGGAAGTAGACTATGAAGAATCAGACAGTGATGAGTCCTGGACTACAGAAAGTGCTATCAGCTCTGAAGCTATCCTTAGTTCAATGTGCATGAATGGAGGGGATGAGAAACCTTTTGCCTGTCCTGTTCCTGGATGTAAAAAAAGATACAAGGTAAGCAGCAGTTCAGACCCACCTTATTTCCAGCTGATGCAGTGAGGACAAAAAAGCCTCTAAAATCGATTTATACCTTTCTCACTTAATAGACTTTTCACGTATATTTTTGTGGTGTTTTAGTGTAGTATGTATTTTATTCACTGTTTTTCTCTCAAGCACAGCCAAAGTAAAAGTTTTATGAAGAATGTAGCGTTTAGCATCTCTGTCTGTCAAGAGAGGTTGCAAATAGTGACTGTTTTAATACTTTTGCCTGACACATTTTACCTAGCTTTCTATTATTTAGAGAAATTAACTGCAGAATCCAGGAGGTCACACCAGCAGAATAATCTCTGCTTCCATTTCAGAGACACAAAATAAAAGCTTGCACCTATCAGTGCCAGAATGAATCCCTTCTGCATAACTAGTAGCCATGTGGCACTTCCTGTAGTGAGAATATGCCTGTGGTACTTTTCCTGGCAAAGCTGATGTGTGGAAAATGATGTTTAATATTTTGAAATTCAGAGGTCATCTCACAAAGGCAGAACCTCAGAGAAGTTCTGTCTGGGCTTGACAAGGTATCCCTCGGCATGCCGTTCTGTCTGGGCTTGACAGGTATCCCTCGGCATGCCGTTCTGGGAAACTTTTTTTTTTTAAATTATCCTCCATCATTTGGGATTTTTATCCATTTATGGGAGTAAAACATCTCTAACTTTGAACCTTGAGCTGGCTTGCATGGAGCGTTCTGTGGTGTTGCAAGGACAGGAACATTGCTTCTTGTGAACTAGCGCAGGGACAAATGAGATTTTATTGAACAGATTGGACACCGCTACAGTATTCCAGGGTCAGACATTTGGGAACTGAAATAGCCTATCGACCACAGTTTCTCTAAATTATTTTCTGAACTTTTGCATAAAGTGTTAGAAAATTCAGCCACTGACGTATACCCTAGAAAGAAAAAGCGGTGATGGTTGGTTTTGGTTGTATACTTGTTCTTTTTTTATGACTTCTCTTTTAAATAACTGAAAAGTAGAGACTTAAAAGGGAGCAGAAATAAGAAAGAGAAATATAGGAAGGCCAATAACATTTGAGATAAAACAGTTGTGACAATAACAAATAAACTGTTCGTGAAAGTGTGTAGCATATGAAAACGTATTTTGGTGATCCTGCAGCTGTTCTGGACCATTGCTTCTCCGTTAGTAGTGCATCACAGGACTCGGATTCATAAACAGTGCTTGGAGACCAGTTAATGCTGGCAAGACTCATTTAAAACATGAGCAAGAAAGCAGTGTGTTCATTTCTTAGAATGACATACAAGTCCTTTTTGCAGAGATTAGTCTGCACTATGATAGTGATTATTCTACTCTTCAGTCACAAGAAAAAATAAACATAGTCTCAGGAGACAGGACAGAGGAAAAGATGCCTTGGGAATATTTTCAAGTATCGCTTTGCAGATACAACCACATTATTCAAGATTAATACTTTTCTCGTGTGCGGTAGAAGCTGTGTCAGATGAAGGGAGTAGTATCAAAGCTAAATACCTAGCTCAGGAAGCAAACAAGCCATGGTGATTGTTAGAAGTCACTATGCCCACAGGGCATCTCTGCATTGCAGAAAACATTCATTTAATGGCAAAGGCTAGAAGGAGAACCCTGTAATTTGCTATATCCTGTCTGTTCTCTGTTTGACTGCCAGCCCCTCTGTCTTTTTATTGCCCAAATAAGCAAGCTGTTCCTGCCTGCTTCTGCTATCTCACTGCCTTCATCTCAAATGCATGAGGACTGTCTAAGGGATATCTTGTACACCATTAATGTTAGAACAGTCGGACAGGGAATAAATTAATGACCCATAGAGAGGCTGACAGACAGAGAGCAGCAGCAAATAAAAAGTACCGTATTTTCCTAAGAGACTCACCTCTGTTTAGTCCAGATAGGAAAAGACATTTCCTTTAGCTCTACCTCACCTCATCTTTCTTTTCAGTCAGTTATGTTTCCTCCCTTTTTTTCTTTTCGGTCTGATTTTTTTTTCTGTTTTTATCTTTGTTTCCTTCCGTTTAGTTTTGTGTCAGCTGTGTTTCTTGTTTCCTCTGCATCTTCCTCCTGCTTAACTCCCTCCTCAGATGAATTATTTGCTGAGTCTGGGTAGGGAGTCCTGTGATCAAAGCACTGGGATTTTCTGGTGGGTACTGGATAATCACAGTCAGGGCTGTAAAACAATTATAGAGCTACAAACAGGAACACGGCCGTGCACATACAGTAATTGCCGAGCTCGCTTTACGGCTGAGAAAGGATGCAGTCTGGTAGGGAGTGAGGAGGAAAGGAGGATATACAGTTTTCTTTTGTCTTGCCGTAGGTGACGTGCGTTTGAGAAGCAGAGACGTTATTTTTAGATGGGTTATTTGTATTACAGTGGTGCTTAAAGGACCCAAGAGAGATTAGGGGCTCCCTTTTGCAAACAATGTACAGGGATAAAAGATGGCCTCTGCACTGCAAAGCAATCACGGAAAGGTAAATAAGACAGGAGTGAGTACAGCAAGTACTCCCCGGCCGTGGGCAGGGGCGCACAGTGGGACTGGGGTAAGACCATGTTTATGCACGAGCCCAGCTGAGTGGCAGAAGACCCTACTGGCCTCGTGCCCGGCCCTTATCGGTTGGCAGTTTCCCACAGGCATTGCCGTAGAAGTGAGTCATTGTTCTTTCAGAAACCTACTTTATTTTGTTAAGATAGAAAATGGCTGGCTTATAAAAATGCATTGGTACGAAGCCCTCTGTATAGTGTGAGGCAGTTTTTTCTTGAAGTGCCAAAGTTTCTGGAAAAAAGACTTGTTTTCTTTTTTTAATGGCTTGTAAATTTGTTTGGGATGTTCAAAATCAACTGAGTGAGTCCGGAGCACGCTGACTTTCTAGAGGCTTGAAACACAACCCTCTGAAGTAATTTCTGGACCTTCCTCCCCCTCCCCTCCATTATCATTTCTGAGCTGGGGAAAAAATGATAAGGTATTTTACAGTTTGCTATTCAAGGATTTTTTTTATTTATGTGATTTGTGCTTGAAGCCTTAAATTTGATTTTTAGAAAATCATCCAACTTTTTCAAGGGAACCAGGGCATTAGAGATACATTTCTGCTTTGCTTCTTCAGAGTTTACCCCCACCAGATTTAGGCTTTACATCCCAAGCTGTCCAGGAATCTGTGTATTGAGTTCTTAAAATGTTTTACAAAATGTCACCTGTAGGAGCTGAAGTGTGGATTTATGAGGTTGGCAGTTAGGTTACCTTTTATTAAATATCACCTACATGTGTCAATAATTTGGTCTCTGACTTTGGAGAAGGAAACTTTAAATGTGTATATGATATATTATTTGGGCAAATTCCAAAGAGCAAATTAAGTTTGATGTTGTCTATCTTTCTATACATATACATATATATGTATGTATGTATGTATGTATACGTGTGTGTGTGTGTATAAAAAATTGCATATATACCATTATAGAGGAAACCCTAGCATATTTGTCATACTTGTTCTGGCTTGTGCAAATACAAAAATATACAAGAAAGATTACTGTACACGCATACAATTGCTTATATGCATCTGCTTTCAGTGCAGCCATTAAAAACCTCATTTCAATTAGGCTTCTCCTTTGCTTAGCAAATTTCCGTCTGCTCCCTAACTACCCAGAATGTACAAACTCAGTGTCCCTGTGCAGCCTATGAATTTAACTCCCCAGTTACATGTTCTTTCTGTATGAAAAACTGTAATAGCTGATCAGTGCGTGTATGTTGGTCAGATTTGAAAGTGGTTGGGACGGGAGGCGTTTCCCAAGCGCACCTGCGTTATGACAGGGTTTGAAAGGCCATGTAAACTGAGGCTAGCCTTAACGCACGGATTCTCTTTACAAGAGATTTACTACTGCTGATGCTTTGAGAGTTACCGTTGCTCAAGATTGTCTCACGTAGATCTGTACGGAGAGTTTCTGTACTCAGGCTGCTGCAGGAGGGCACGAGCGTTTGAAAGGGAGGCAGGGGGTGCTGCTGGGTGGAGGCAACGATGCAAGGGGGTGTGCGGTGCACGGCTGCGCAGAGCCACCGGAGGAGCTGCGCCAGATGGGCCACGGGCGGCGGGACGCAGGGCACCCTGAGCTCACTCACTGAAGGTGTTTGCCGTCCTGGGGGAACCAACTCTTCTCGATTTGGGGTGCTTCTCGGCCAGCGCAGCCTTCGCTTGCTGGGCAGCTCCTGCTCACATTGCAGCATTCCCAGAGCACGGTGATGGTCTCTTTGGAGAGTGCCCACACCCTAGGCTGGAAGCAAGTATGCACAGAGGCTTTCTCCTGGACAACTCAGTGACTGCTTTTTTTTGCCTCGGGGAGGGGGGCAAGAGCAGGAGTGGCACCTTTGAAGAAGGTATGCTGGGACACTGGGCATAGTCTTCCTAGCAGGAAGGGGATGAGGGCCTAGGCCTGGCCTAGGCCAGGTGGGTGAGCACCCTGGGAAGGCTGGTCTCGGAGCAGAGAGACTTGGCAGATTGAGGGAGGGAGAATATTGAGGGGAAGAAGGGAGCGTGCTTGAAAGAAACCAAGAAGCCAGCGCTTCCTTGGGCAGAGAGGAACTGGACCCAGAAGGAAAACCTCAGGGAGGGGAGAACTGCGATTTTTGCATTAGAAGGAAGACGAGTCCAGGTGATGTCTTGGGGGGCCGTTGCGATATTCTCCGTGTTTCCGTTCTCCTCCTTTAGAGGACCCTGGGAAACAGCTAGGCTAGGCTTGTTGGTATTTTTGTAAAGGAACAGCCAGGAGATACAAAACGTACATGAGTGTCCCCGGCCTGAAACAGGAAATCGAGACAAACCACCTTTGATGTCTGTTTTCCCATTTGAACGGTGGCGTCAAGCTTTCCTGCCTTGATGGAGTGTAGTGGCTCAAAGGCACTGCTGTGCAAGGGGCCCGCTCAACAAGGGTCCTCGTATCCGGGCAAACCAAGCAGGGCCAGGCCTAAACTTCTGTATCTCCTCTTGATCTGGTCCCAGGTTAATAATTGTTTCCTCCTGTTTGGGATTTTAGAGTGCCCTTCTGTACTGCCATCTTCTTCCTCAATCGTTTGTGAGCGTAATTAATAAGCAACCTAAGTAACCACAGCATTAAAAGTGATGTATGAGTTTGGCAGTGTTTTTTGCCCTACCTCAACAAACTAAACCCAGACACAACAAAGTGTTTACACTGTAGCGGTGGAAAAAGTGCTGAAGAGTTGACTGTAACTTCAACAACAGTTTCCTTTAGACAGAAGTATGGATCAAATTTCATGTTATGCTAGCTCCTCGTACCCATGAGTGTTTTACTGTTTTTCAGACCTTCCATAGGCCAATTAATTCCACCTAAGTTTGTGGTTTAGAACTTCCTTAAATTTATCTGCCTGGAATTACTTTTCCCCCGTCATCCAGGTGTGTATTTTGTACTTGAGGATATGTGAGTGGATCATTCAAGAACCTGAAACGGAAGAGCAGGAGCGTTGGCAGAGGCATAGCGAGAGTATTTGTGGCTGCAGATTCGTGGAACCCATAACAACGGATACTAGTCCGAAAGTAACTTAGCGATTACTCCTGAAGATTAAATATCTGAACAGACTTCTGTTTAGACTTCCAAAATAAATACAGGTTTGGGGGTTTACTTTATTTTTAAAATTTGACTGCAGTGACAGAAGTTTAGCAGGTCACCCCCAGAATTTCTCCTCTTTGAAGGCACAAGTCTTTAACACTACTTGGTTGTTGACAAATGCCGTATGACAATCCTTGTGACATCCAGTGACTCCCTAGCAGTTAGCATCTAGTCCTTCAGGTGTTGACATTTCTATAGTAACTATGTGCAGAGCCATCCAAAAGCTGCCCCAGGTTCTCAGACAGTTTGCCTGGAGTTCCCATTGACTACTCTTGAAGGCTCTTGAAGGTCAGTTTGTAGCTTTTATGTGCTTTTCCTGTCTCACTGGTATGGTTTTCTGTTACAAATTTGCTCTGAATACTCTTCACCTAGAAGTAACCCACACTAAAGGCTCGTATTTGTATGTCTAATTTATTTTGGAGGCTTAACATTTTCATGTCCCACAGCTTATATGAGAGCTGTGCAGGAACGAAGCCAATGAGTAGTCAGGGAAGACTCCATGTTTTTATGGAATGTGTGTAAAGGACAATTTTGGGGCTGGACTTGTGACTTCAAGTGGGGGTTCAGTGCTGAGGATCTTAAGAGGAGAGAAGCATCTATTTGTGGGCAGAGCAGCTGCTTAGAGTTTTGCACCTTATCCTTTCCCAAGCTAGATATTTTAGGCTAAGTTTTCCTCTTGAATGGATTACTGCAAACCAATCTCTCTAGACACCCAGGCTGCTACAAAATGCCCGTTGAGAGGTGCAGACTCCACCCGGCGTTGAGAGTTCTGATGGTAACTCCACCATGCGTGACTTTATTATTGAAACTGGAGAACTGCTTTTGCTTAAAGTTTAAAAATATATTGCTGTAGTGGCCCACCTAATGGGTAATAAATAAGGAACAGCATTTTGTGTAGTAAGGTGAGAAGACCATAGCTCTATGGAGAGTTTGGGCGGGGGGGGGGGGGGGGGGGGGTTTTGATGATCTTGACGAGGACTGCAAGTTCCTTGTAATACTCCTACTACTTCATGTTGTGACCTGACGTTAGAGCAGAGAACTGGGAGACGACACACAGAAGGGACTATGTCTCTCAGGAGTGCAGAATAAAACTTGAGATTTTCACGTAATTTTGATTAGGAGATGGGGGAAGAGAAAGGGAAGTGTTTACAGGAGAGTGGTGTTAAAGGTGTGAAGTTCATGTCTTTTCTGTTGTTTGCTTTATGATGTATCAAGAATCTCCTGAGGTTTAAGCAGTTACAGCTCTATGTTCTTTACTGACTTTACAGACAACACATTGTCTGATTTGTCTGATGGCTCCGAGTCCCAGCTCTCAGAGAGCTGGGACTTCCAGTTACTGTAAACTCCATGTGCGTGAAACTGTACTTGCTGCTTGGAAAGAGCCAAGTGGACTTTTTATGTGTAACAATGGGCAGTGGTTCAGCAAGGACAAAATTTGGAAAACGTAACAGTTTGGGGTTATCTTAAACAGGGGGAATTTGGGAAAACTTAATAGTGGGTTAATTTCATCCATGCTGTTAACCAAGTTAAATTTTTATAGCTTAAAAGCATAAGAAACACATATCTAGAAACTGCAGAGAGGATCAGTAGAGTCTCAGAGCTGTACCTTTGTCGCAAAATGCCTTGGCAGCTTTTTTGTTTTTTTTTTTCTAGAGAAATATTTATGGACAGTCAACCACTTATTGCAGGGTTGCTCCGATGAGAGAGTGTTTGCCTTTCCTTAGTTATCCAAAAATTCAAACTCATTTGGCGAAAGCAAAAAATAAGCTGACAGAGAGACTCTAGGTAAGAGGAATCCTAGATAAAGCAATGTGGAAAAAGAAGGAAAGTGGTAAGGCTTCGATTACATTTAGTACAAGGTTCTTGATTTATCTGCAAAAGTGTTGCTTGTTTTGTGACTGTGCTGGTATAACTGTAAGTACTTTGGAGTGCTGTCTTTTGCTCTTACTCTCCAGACTACAGCAGAGAAGCGTTTTCTAGTTTTAACTGTAGAATATTGCTAAACAATAGCTATTGTAAAAAAAAATATTTCTCTGATTTTTTTTCCTATGTGTGTGCTGCGTATAACTCTCTTTAACTGTTCCCTACCACTAATTCTTTAGAGACAGTGATGTGGGAGCTATCAGAATTTGCTGCTGCCTAAAGACATAGCTAAAAACAATGTCACAAAGCAGAAAAAAAACACCTGTGGGGGGGGGGGAGGGTGTCCGCTTTTTGAAGAAGTGTGACTTGAGTATTCGTGCCAATTCTTTGTTTGCTTGGAAGTGAACCTCTGAATAAAAATTTTTCAATTCTATACCAAAAAAAGGTCAGGAAGCAAAGAACATTTATGTCTGATCCCATTAGATGATATTTTTGAAAAGCAGTGTACACTGAGAGATAAAAATCTGGACTAGCAGGCAGGTAAGTTTGATGCATTAGAGGTACAGGTATTATTCTCCTGCTTGTCCCACACCTAAGTCAGGCAGTCAGTCTTGAATATCTAACGCAGAGAGACAGTTTGTAACAAATTATGTAGTTTTGCCTGTAACACTAGTCAAGTTTTAGGTTTGTAACAGAAAGGCAAAGCATTACTAAACCGCTTGACAACTAACATTTTACTTTCTCACTCACAGAATGTGAACGGTATAAAGTACCATGCCAAGAATGGCCACAGAACGCAAATCCGTGTACGCAAACCATTCAAATGTCGCTGTGGAAAGAGTTACAAGACAGCTCAGGGCCTGCGGCACCACACAATCAATTTCCATCCCCCCGTGTCTGCTGAGATTATCAGGAAGATGCAGCAATAACATGCTGGTCACAAATGTGCCAAGAAATCCTCACCAGCAGTTGCTGATTTTCAGAACAGCCACCTTTTTCAGGGGAAGCATTCAGCAACCCTTTAAAGAATTAAATGCATGCTTTAAAATTTTCTGTAATTTTGGAATGATGTATCTTTGTAGAGTTAATGATTTTGTACATTTGCACATGTAATCATCATACCCATTTTCATTACTTTGAGATAAGGTGCTAAAAAAGCTATAGGTTCTTCAGAACATTTTTCTCCAAAACAAAAAATTAGGGGGGGGCATTGCGTATTTAGTTGTACTGAAGTGTTGAATAGGAGTAAGAGGAGAGCTTGGCACTGACATAATTTCAAGATTGTAATGTCATGAAGACTTTCAATGCATCTGTCAACGTGTGTGCAAAACCAAAACAATACCACCATTGTCAAACTATAGTTAACATGCCTTACATAATGGAGTTATCAGTGGGGTAGCAAGTCTTTTAGGTAATGGAAATATAAATAAGAAAGAATGTTTAACATAATATGCTAAAAATATTTTCATACTTAAATAACATACATAAAAAGGTGTGCTTGCTGTATTTTATATTATCTTGCAAATCTTTTTTTTCCCTCTTGAAATGCTGAAAATCTTGCCATTTGAACTAATAAACAATCACTTTAGTGTTAGAAATTGCTACTTTTTTTTTTTTTTTTTTGTATTTGTACAAGATGTCATATTACGTTCATGCCCATCAAACTTTTGAGGACCAATATCCCAGTCCAACTAAATAGTTACCCCTGAACTATCTGTTAGAAAGACACTTGGAAATACTTAAGTGCAAATTTGTGTGTGTGTGAGAAACGATTATCTTCATCTCAGATGAAGGTTTAAAGCACTTTGTAGTTCTCTATTGCCAACAGATTTAATGTTTTATGTGTTGCCAATTCTTGCAACTTACTGTACGAGCATGTGCCTGTGGTTGCAAATAAAAATTAAAAATTCTACACATGGTTTAAGGAGGTCCATTATTTGTGCTAAGGGAATTTCTAATGCCTCTTCTTCATGTTCATTGTAGTTTGAGATTTTTCTTTGTACTTTTTTTTGCTTCTCATTGTAGATCACTGCATTCTGTTTGGAAGTAAGTGTGTCTGTTTAGCTTTACAAGTAATTTTGCTGAAATATGACATATGAGCCTTACTGAAGATGATTAAGTGCTTCTTGCAGCAGGTGGTCAGAGACTGATTTAAAACAAAATCCAACCTGAAACAGCTTGTGTCTGGACCATACCTGAATGTTTGTTGCCTGCCATCCTGCCTTGAGCAGTCTTCTCTCACAAGTGCTATTCCTGGCCTTTAGATGCCAGTTATGGAATTGTGCAACTCCCCCCCCTGCCCCCAAACCCCATTCTTTTATAGTAAGGTTTGGGGGGATTCATAATTTGAAATACAGTAATCAGCCTTCCTTATTTGCTGTAATTGCAGGTGCAAAGGAAAGCTTCCCATATATGAGAACTAAGCTTTCCCTTTAATTTTGCCAAAGCTTTAAAAGACTCCGTATAAATATGACAATTACCTAGTCTCCAGCAGAATAGAAGCGGCGTCTCTAAAATATTTGGATCCTCCTAATAAATTTCAAAGTGTTTAGAAGATCCCCATTTAGGATTTGAAAAAGTAGTATTTTATTTAAAGAGGTGCCAGTGGCTGTATTGTACAGTGCTGTCAGCTGGGTTTAAAGGATGATCCAGACATGAGAAGTAATTTTTGGTACACAGACGGTCCCATGCGGCCCTTTCCTACCTTCTGCAGTTTTGGCAACAGATCTGGTGAGCAAATATGTTTTGGCTCTGCTCCTAGTGCAAGAAACTACAGACTGGGTAAGTTAGTTCAACAGCTAAACAGTTGTAAAGTGTCATTGTTGCATGTAAATTCATTTCAACTATAAAAATGAAATTCCAGTTTCTATTTACCTACTCATTGTGACAGTATTATTAAACAGGTAAAGATGGGACTATTTTGTTATACTGTGTATAGTGAATGTATTGTACCGTGTCTGTGAAAAGTGTGCTTTAAATTATATTTTCATATGTTTTGTTGGGGACAAAGTACTTTAAGTTTGAAAGTGACAGAGGTTTGTTTTAGAACTGAAGGCAACTTAATGAATTCCTGTCAAGAAAGCTGCTTATAAATGTAAATCAAATCACATTTAAAATAAACTGCCTCTGACCTAAAATGACTCTTCTTTACTTGCCTCTAAGCTAAAGCCTTAGGTCCTTGGGCTGTATCTAGTCTTGTGTATTTTACTTTAGTTAGTGAAGAGAATGAGTTTGATACTATCTGCAGTAACTTAATCGCTACATCATTTACACAGCAAGTTACACAGAATACTACAACATGGTGGAGGCAGGGGCAAGAGGAGTATTTTGATTTAATTAGTCAAAAGCAAAATCTGCTTTCACACGATGTTTCCTTCCAGCATCACAACACAGTTCACTCTAGAGAGGTGAAAGTTCATAACCTTGCTAAAGAGCCTGTCCTTTTAATGGTAAGACAGGAGATACCTCTCTTCTAAAGTTTTTCGAAAATGGAGTGACTACAACTACAGAAGGAGAAATCGCTAAAGTCAAGTTTTGTATTCTGACTTTGAGGTTGTCATGCCTGTGTGGGATACCAGCCTCAGAGTTCAAAAGTCTTTATTAGAACTTGTTATCCCTGTATTACTTTTCTTTTTTAAACCTGCTCTATAACTGTACTTCCATATGTTACCTTGATTTTTTTTCAAGTGTGACCCTCATGCAAGTAGATAGTCTAACTAACTTTACACCACAGAGGACTGATTTAGTAGCTGCTATTCAAGACTGCAATTTATGTCTTGCAGCTTTTAATAAATTCTACATTGAATAGGCTATTGCATATGCTCGCAAAAAAGGGAACTGCAGACAATGTAAGTACGTAAATTACTCAGACCTTAAGCCCCCAAGTCTCTCTAAACCAAAGAACCTAGAACAAAGGATAAAAGTAGATCTGAGCAGCAGTATTTTGTCATGCAAAACTGAAACATCATTTACTGCAGCTACACAGAGGCTGAAGTCTGGTTTATTTTATTTCATAACGAGCAGCCAGAAAAAAGGACCACTGACTCCATGAATAATTTTGCTTTTAATGTAACAAGACTACTGTACAACAAGTGGAAAGCAAATTTACTTACTACATTTAAGTAAATATAAAATGTTTAGATATACACACATGTTGTTACTGGAAAGAAATATGTAAAGTTAAAATGAAAAAGGTTTTAAAAGCCCAAATCCAAAAGGAACACAATTCACTGTTGTGAAAATGTAACGATGTTACCTACTGAATACAAGTGCAACATAATGGCAATGATTTTAAACAATTATTTTCTAGGCATTCTAAGCAAAGTAATTTATTTTAACTCAAAAATACTGCCTTAAAGTATAACATACTTGAGGTTATTCCTTAAGGCAAATGTTCTATATGCGAAACTGAAATATTTGTCATTACTTTTGTTGCAGGCATGTAATCTCACAATACATGCACCTACATTTCAGAAAATTACTAGAAAACTATGTTTTCATTGCGTAAGTTATGTAACTTTGATTTAACTGTTACTCAAAGAAAAACTACACAAATTTACTGGGAGAAACATCTGTTTATTATGTTTTTAATCATGCCTCAGTTATAGTCAAGAGAAACCATAGGGGATTTGTTATTTTATTTTTTTTTACAGCTAAAGAGCATCAAGAAGCTGGTCTTGTTGGTTCTGAGGCTAAGTTATTTCTATGTTCTTACAAATTCCACTAAATAGGGGAATAAATAGATACATACACAACCAAGTCTTTTCTTTAATATAACGTTAGATGAATAGAGAAGACAACCCGATAGCAGCTTACAGCCAAGATTCATCAAGGCTCTCATTAGAATACACAAGCTTTTAATCAGAAATCTGCATTGTCACAGAAAAGCTACACTGTTTTTGTTCTATAGGTGGATTACTCACTCAGAGTTGTTTCTTTTTAAGCTACATTGCAAAACAAAGTATTTAATCGAAATTTAAAACATTGTGATCAAAGTGCGTCTGAACATGCCTCTCAAACCCTTGCTGATCATAGTCAGGTGGAAACTGCTCACTGCACATGGGGCACACCTTCCAGTGACTTTCAACATGCTCTTCAAACTTGCTCTGATCATAGTTAGGTGGAAACATCACATCGCAAAGAGGGCATTTCTTGTGCACATCAAAACTTCATGAGGAGAGGAAAAAGAAGGGGGAAAAAAAAATGAAAGCAGTGTTATTGCAAAACAAAACGAAGTCAGATCCTGCTGCTGCTGAAGAGAAGCTTTACTGCTAATTTACATCTGAGCAAACTTCATGTATGTAAGCAAATATCATACAGTTAATTAAATGTCTTAGTTGAAAATGAGCAGTACAGTTAAAGTAGTTCCACATACGCATTTCAAAATAACATGGCATTTTAAAAGTTACATCATTTTGACATAGTTCCAGCTACCACTGAATACAGATCTATTGAATGTCTTAATGGCCAAGTAGTTTCATGGGAAACCACTCTCTCTGCTCATAAATGCTTGCTTTTAGCAAACATAACACTTTATAAAAGCTCTAAACTTAGGTTCACAATTAGGTTGGAAAGGAGGGGGGGTGGGGAACAAAGGTTTTTCATTCATTTTCCAAAAATATTGTCCACAATCAGTCAAAATGAGGTATAGTGCAAATAGTCCACCCAGTCAAACAGCAAATTCTCTGATAGTTAATTGCAAAACAAACACTGACTGAGAATGCTTAACAGCGTTTCAGCTTCCTTCTCCACCCCCCCACCTCGAGTAAAGGAGTCCAGCTATACAGAAACTTATCTGTGCCATTAAAAGACCAATAAAAGATAAACATTTACCTAGAATCAAAGCAAAAACCTGTTCCACGTTCATGCAAAAGAAGACTCGGAGGATCAGGAGCAGAAGGTACAGTGTTGTCATCATCCTATTAAAAAACAGTACTATGTTAAATAACACTGACTAGAGAAAGATCTTTTTTTTTTTTTTTAAACTAAGCAAAAACACCAATGAAATTTACCTTTCATTTTGTAACCTCTGCACCACAAATTTTACTTTAATATACAAAAGTGAGACCTATTAATGAATATGAAATGCTAAACAGACTGCCTTTTGACCATGTAAATACAGCAGAAATCTGTGCCAGTACTACGGGAATGCTTCTACTAGTACAGTAACTCAGGAAATGCAGGTCACCTCACTGCTAATGCCTCAGGGCTAAAGCAGAACAAAAATCCTGTGTTAACCTGAACGCAGGGCATCACAGTATAACCCCCAGTAACATTTTAGAGAGTTAAAATTCAAAAATAAATTCTAGACAATAGCATGGCAAGTCAAATCCTTAATCTGTCAACTGAAGTTTCAGCAAGGGGAGGGGAAGGCGAAACAAACACACACACACACACACACAAAACCCATTGAATTGGATTCACCCGCTTGCCTCCCAACAGTCAGTTTTGAGTGATTTGCGTACGCTGCTATCGGCAGCCAGGCACGTCACACATTTCACGCTGCAGTCAGGCACATCAGCTAAATTGCCCTGTTTGGCTGCTTCCTCCCGTCAGCTCTGTCAGTTGTGCTCTCCCTTCATGAACACTAACAGCACATAAATAGCTGCAGCACACGCTGATGAGGATCACGCTGCTGATGGACAGCCAGCTTTACCTCAGAGCTTCTGTCAGGGCCTGCCTCTAGAGAATATGCTCTTGCTAATGTCTCTCTCTCTCTCTCTCTCTCAAATCAGGGGGAAAAAAAAAAAGTCTGCAACGTGCAATTCTTAAGCTGAAAAATGAAAAATACCTACAGCAATTTAATTCTGCGAGCGACAAGTGAAGGATCAAAGCACTACTTTTTTTTAATATCTGATGACATTATTATGAATTAAGGCTTAAACAAGCACAGTGATGCAAGTAAACAGAATTACAGCATAGAAGAAGAAAAAGACCGTAAGTTGTTTCTTTATGCAGTAAGAAACTATGTTTTATAGTATCTTGGTTCTATTCTGCAAACAGATAAGGCAGCACAAAGACTATTCATTTAAAGGGGGAAAGCTAGGGGCCAACGAGACCTTTAAAAATCTAAACACTCAAGTTTCCTAAAACATTTTCTTTCTTATTTGAAAGAGACAGTACATGCAAGACATTACAAAGGATTTAGCTGACCTTCAAAAACGGATGTGCAAGGAACCATATGCAACAGCACACATACAATATTTTATACAGACAACTAACATATATATTCAAATATATTTGAATTGTAGGCTAACATGCTTTGTTCTTATGAAGAGATAATGGAAATTAGACAGGATAGGAAGATTCCCTCAGTATTTTTCTTCTCCTGCCAACAGCTGTTTAGTTTCAACCATTTAACGTTTCCATTAAGCAGCTAGTGGGGCTTGCTGTGACAGATGCTAGCAACAGACACATTTTCTTGCCTAACTCGCTTGCTTTGCACCTGCAGCATAAAGGGCATATGGGTTTGAAAATATTATTTGTTTCTTTTGTCATGAAAGAGATAGGATGTGTGTACTAAAGAAGAAAAACTATTTAAGAGTACTATAGTGCTACAACGTAACAGTTCATATAGTACGAAAAACATGACAAACAAGTTTGCCGGAATTACCAGACTGTGAGCAGATCTCGAATTGAGAAAACGAATACACATCTTTCTTCCAAAAACAGGTCTACCACAAACACAGGCCTAACTTACATTTAAAAATTCTTCTAAAACATCAGCACTGCCTCTTCACCTTATACGAAGCTTTACAGTAGTGGAGTTTTTTGTTTGGGGCATTTTTGCCTTTCTTAATCTAGCTATTTGTTAAGAATTTTGCTATTGGTTTTAGGGGAGGGGGAGTGTTCTATTTTTTAATCATGCGGGTTGTGGCAAATTACTCCCTAAGATAAAACTCTTAACATTGTCTTGTGGTTTTTTTCAACTTCTGGCAAGTGGGATGCCCTCTCCTGTACCTATATAACATGCCTCATCAGACCTTTTTGAAAAACTGATTCTAAAAACTGAGTACAGTGCTTCTCTACACACACACATGCTATCCTGCAGAGCTGCTTTGTAGTAACCAGCTTCAATAAAGGCATGACAAAGTCATTAACAGTTTTAAAAAGCTTTTCTGATGTCAGAATAACATTAAAATTGGTATGTCCTGAGGATGCAGCTTTTTCATGACTTTAATCAATTAATGATAAAAAAAAATGTACTGCACATTCCTTATAGTAGCATCTGACTTGCGCAGCATGTAACAATGACAATATCAAATACGTATTGATACTACTTTGTTAAGGTTTGGAAAGAACGTCTTCTCTGTACAGGTTTGCTCCTGGCCAAGTAAGTATACATAAATCACTTCTTAACCTTTTGTTATGCTTACCAAGAGAAAAGCAAATCTATATTGAGTATACCTCAAAGTATATACTACAGAAATTACTGCATAATTTAAGAATCGTTCATTAAAAACTCACTTCAATAACTGTCTTCTGTTTGGACAACAAATGTGTGTTTTGGACCTTATCTAGAAGTTAACATCAAACTCTACCGTATTAGACGCCATATAACATGGACTGGAAACAAAGAGCAATCAAGACCCTGTCAAACAGTAACAACAGCGGCTTGAAGACTTTATCAAATAGTCTGGGACTATTTCACTGTTATTCTAATAATTCTAAGTTACTGCCACATCTTGCTGTTCGGTATGCTGAACTGTACACAATCAGTAACTACTGAGGAAATTCTCATGCTCTTTCCTGGGGTAACTTGGAGCTTCTGGAAAACACAAAAAACGTTCTATTTTATTTGACTCTGACAGCAGTCTATTCGTATCACTTCAGACGGAGAAAACTCCTAAAACGTACCCCATAAAATTGGGAACTATATGAAGGAAGGACAGCTCTTGCTAATCTTGGTTCACAATCACTTAATGCCCAGTTTCTTCCAGTTGGTGTAACCAAAGATACATTCTTTATTCATATAAATTACATCAGGTTGAAAAGCCATACGCAACACTAAGACTGTTCACTCTCCCGTAGTAAAACAAACCATCGTCCCCTGAAGACTCAAAGCATAAATGAGAAGACTGGTTTATGTTATTTTACAGAACAAGGCTGACAATAATTGCTTGGAGGTCAGGCCTCAATGGCTACAACTATGCTGTACCTTTAAGCGTGGACATCACCTTATTCTGAAGTCCCCACGATCAATTCATCTAAGGTATTTGAAAAAAGCCCATACTCCAGAATTTGAGAAAGAGACAGTTTAGTCTGTCTGACTCTGTAGGCCCACAGACAACTTCCTTACTATCCAGATAGATGACCAGGATTACGTGCAGGGTTGCGCATATTTAGCCCAAGACCATCACAATGTTTACAGTGATGTAACACAGTTAAATATATGGCCTCAGGTCCTCACCTAAAGAAAGAGTCTGATATCATCTACAGACAGGCTGGCACTGTGCTCAGGGAGCTTGTCAAACAGCAGGCCTTCTGATTCACAAATATGTATACCCATGTAAATGATTTATAAGGAGTGTCATACATTAACCTGTTCTCTACCCAGAACTTCGCAACTTAGCTATTATCACTGGATGGTACCTTTAACTCTAAAACTGTCACAACGAGTTCCACAGGTTATATGATCCATAAAGCTAAACATAGTTATTTCAAACAAATGATTTGTCTTTTTAAAATACCCTACACAAAGTACAGTAAGGAGTTTGTTTGCCATTCACAGAGATTCAAGGGAAAACAAGACATTAATAGTCAATAAACAAGCATAACTCACCTAGTTTTACCAAAACTAACTAATTTTGTATCAAAGAATAAATACTGCTTCAATTATTATAATTAAAAGTTCATGTAATCAGTTCCAAGATTTCCAAAGAGAAATCAGAAGCAAAGATGTGCAAAATGTGTAAAATGGTTTATATTGTGATGTACCAAAATACAGACCTGAACAATCCCAGTCTCAAATGATCTGCTCTACAGATCATCAGCACACACCAATAAGTGAAGCAATACTCATCTTAAGCTTAAAATAATCAATGAACAGCCACATCATCAATGTATACTGCAGATGAACTGGAAAGAAGAGCACATACATTTTCTTTCAGTGAGCCAGCTCTGCTGTGTGAGTGAAATCTATACCACCCTGCAAGCAGTCTGGTCTCCAAGTGGGTACCTGGATACCTTCTCCTTTTCTGTCTATCCTATAGAAAAGATGGTAATTGGCAGCAAGAATAAGACCAGTAGGTTTGCTGGCTAAGAGAAAGACCATTCTGGATCCATCTCAAAAACATCCTGCCCTGGTTCTCAGTGGCCAAAATTTCCTTTTTCTCCTCACGTTTACTGTGGCTAACAACAGTTGTTAAGAGTCTTGGGATAGTTATTCTGGGCTTACTGTCAATCATAATCAGTTTAACGTTTCTTCAATTCACACTTTATTACTAAAAAATAAGAGCTTTTTCTCTTTGCTTCTGGATTTCTCCTGTACATAACTGCTTCTAGAAATGAAAAAACCCTAGTGTATATGTTCTCATGGCATGATTAAGGCAGATCAGCTTATGCCTCTCAGAAATTGCTGTTTAAATAGCCGGAGGATTCTGTAAGCCAAAGCTATGAAGAGTTTTGGAAAGGCTTAAAGCTCTTATTCATATAAAACTGATGTTTCTTCATGTCAACCAAATACATGGAAGTGCCCACCCCCAAGGAAAAACGTTTCAGAAGAAAACATGAGACAGAATACAAAAAGCAACATTAAGCAGAAATTCAGATGCATTTGCACATGACTATATCCTATCTGGTTCACAATTATCGTCCACTCAGACTAACCAAAGACAGAAAAATCAGTGTAAGTTTCAGTGTAACAGCAATGTAACCATCACCTGATCTCATACTCCATTAGCCAAGACAGTCGCCAATAATGAAAAAATATCTCTCTCGCCAGAGAAGTAGAAATAGACGCTTACTACTTGGAAATATGAGCAGATTTGGGTATATGAGCAAAGAGCATTCTCCCTAGGAATGTGAGAAATAAGTTCAGGTCACATTAGGAATAAATCTCTCAGCAGAAGGGTCACCTCAATCATGATCTTGAAAATTTTGTAACTCAAAGGTAGGAAACACAAAATAACTTTGTAGCAGCTGATAGCTGCTGTACACTCCACTGAACTGAAGATCAAATCATTAAGCATTAGTTCCAAGTACAGATGCATCCTCAGGAAAAACTGATTACATGCAACTTCAGAGCGATAGTCCTCTTCACTAGACACTCTCAGCTAGCTGTACGTCTCTCCTTCTACGAATGGGAAGGAAGCATGCCCTAACAGCCATCCAGTGCTATAACGCTATGCAAGAGTCCTACCCCACTATACCAAATGTGCACTGAACAAGTCTACAGGACTTCTGACAGTGGAATGAGAAAGAAGCTGCAAGCCCACAGAAACTGAACTAGCACCCTTCTTCCTTATCCCCAGCCAAAAGGATAGTTATTATCTTGGGTTCTCTCTTATTTATTAATATAATTTGAAAGACTTGGTCAGAATTCCTCCCTGTGATAGGAAGATATTCTATCAACCAAGGCTGTCACATTCAGATTTTAAGAGCTGTATTGCTAAAGTACATGATAGCAGTCACATTAGCTTAATAAGCTGACAGTCTATCCTCACTAGGAAGGGAAACGGAAAATAACTTTTCTGTTGATGAAGAAAACTGATTTTAACTATCTTAGTAAGGATTTTCCAATGCTAATGACACAGAATACCATAGGTAGATCTTTTTCATTACATGAAACCAAAAAACACATAAATGGTTCATTACCCAGGAATACAAGATTCCTCTAGGCAAACAGAAACTCAGCATCTCAAATCTGTTACAACTCTGATACGGATTAAACTGCACAGATAAAGAACAAGTTTGCAGGAAAAATAAACAAACTTATGAAGACTTTTCAAAGGTGGGAAGAGATGGGATTCCTTACCGGACTGAAGGGTTGCACTAATTCAGAAAGGTCCAAGATGTTATACAAAAGAGGATAATTAAGGTTCAAGTAAGAGAAACAAGTTGTACCATTAAAAAAAAAAAAAGAAAGAAAAAAAAAAAATCTACCCTTGCATCATCTCGTATTCTTTTCCTGTGTAGCTGAATTAATGGCCAGTTTGCAGCTATACTCAGGCTGACTGGCCAGCTGTCTACTGCCTGCTAGAGAAGAAAAGGAAACATTACAACAGCTTTTTTCTTACCTTAAGAATCAGGTCTCTCTCTTCTCCCAAGCAATTCTCAAAAACCTATAGGAAGTCAGTATCTTTAAGACCTCTATAATATGTCAGATATGGCTGAAATTGCCAGAAGAAAGTAAAAGTAGTATCCAGAAAGAAATAAAAATGGCATCAAGAAGGCAAAATTTCAATCTCGATAAACTGGAAAAGAATTCTTTTGGAACAAATACCAGAGTGCCGTTGAATAGAAGGAGGATACTTCATTTACGTTATCAACTCACAGCGTTAAGTAAAGCTGTATAAATTGTTTAAGTGCTGGAATGGCTCAGTGAAGGCAAAAGCTTTAAAACTTGAGGACCACCAGAGTGTACAGTGGAAATGTGCATGTGGACAAACGCTCAAAGGCAAATTTGAGATTCTCTCCCTAACTTTGAGGAAGACGCACCATAGTTAGAAACATGGTAACACAACCTTTACAATGGAAAGAGCTCCAGATAATACAGCGGCAGAGATACGGTTTATAGGTTGGAAGTGATTCTACCTAATCCCTTGTCAAAAAACACTGCTGGAAGAAGCATTCAGAATCTCTCTTCCATCTTCTGGACTGACATTTACAAAATTACTCAATTACACAGGAATGTAAACAGCAACTACAGAAGTTCAACTTGCTAGACCTCTCATAGTTTGCTGAACTATTCCTTAGGCTGCATGGATATCTAAACGGAAAGCAGTTCCATTTCTGTCTTTCATGCTGCAGAAGCAAGTGGCAAAGCTTCTCTTACACACACATGCACACATCTCATTTACCTCCACTTGTCTTAGAGACTTTAAAAGCCTATTTCAATCCTGTTTGGAAAGTCCACTTACCTTTGTGTGTATACAACCTCTATTTAACTCTCATACGTACACCGTAATATTGGCCCTGGATCCTAAATATCTTTCTTCTTAGATAAATAACGTAGATAAGTTCGTCATCATAACTAAATGCTGCCAAAATAAGCACTTTCACCATCTCGTGGTGAAAATGACCACAATTCCCTCAAGTTCTTAACCTAATATAACATGTAGTAATAGGAGTGTAAAGTGGAACATGACAAAATTCCATACAATGGTCATCTTTCAAACAAAGCAGCAAAACTACCTATTTTCTTCCTCCGGGAAGGACAAAAGGGTCCATATCCTACTAGTTTAAAAGTGTGTAGAATCACATCTTATACAATTCATTTTAAAAACAAGTAAAATAAATGGCAGTTCTTCTTATTTATCACACTATATTTGCTGTTTCTTCTGTGGAAATGACAGGTTCTCCTTCATTACAACTAGCTCTCGACATGCAGATTTTCCTCAGTTCTTTCTTTCTTGAAATACTGCATTAAAACACATTCCTCTTTAGCATATCATTAAGTCACTCTACAAAGATTTTTGCAACCACTCAGTTAGGTGTAATATTTGTACATATACAACCTATTTTTGGGCAGAGGAAGCAACTGATTCTCATTTGAAAGTCAAAAAATAAAGACAGAAATTATATGATTTAAAGGCATCTTTTCTGAAGTTGGACTTCATTTGAGCCTGTTATACTCTCCCCAACTCATTACAAAATTCTAAGCTGTGTCAGCAAATGAGCACAAGACTCTAGCACTGTTTTTCTTGGGTGTGCAAGAGGGCAAAGCACACAGATCAGAAAGAACATCCTGCTAATTAAACTGAAGCTGATGACTAAAGAAGAGCTTGTCATATGTAATATCTACGTCAAGAACGATCAAGACTAAATATGCAAAACGTGAAGTAAAGGTGGACAACACCATTAAGCTCATATTCTAGATCTTAAATAGGCTGCAGAAGTTCTGACAGTTTCTCTAATTATTCTCAGTAATAGACATTGGGGGCAAAAGGTAGGAGAGAGAAATACATTTTTCTCCATTATAGGCGCTGAGCACCAGGGCTAAAATCATGCCTGTCTGAACACTGATCAGTTTCTGCAAAGGTTAATAGCAATTAAATGTGGCAAACTAGACTAAATGAGAAACAGGTCATGATACCACCGTACTTGCAAAGAGCACAATACTTTGCAGAAAAGTACTTCTCGTTTAATATTTTTAAAGGAGCAAGAGTACTTAGAATAAGAAACAGTAATAAGTCTGTTCCTGTTCAAATGAAGACATATGGTACAGTTTAGTACAGAAGCCAATTTACTAGTACCGTTTTTCTTTTCACAACAGAACGTGCAAGTTAACTGTAGGTATTAAGAAGTTAACCAGTTCCCACTTAAAACATACGAAGCCCTGAAAAGGAAATTAGTGAAAATCTGTCACTTTCAGTTTAACCAATTTTAAGCAAGTCAATTAGCTCTTCCGACACATGTCTAACAGGAAAAAAAATTTGAAATGAAAATTAATAAATGAATATTTGTAAAGGACAGGGCAAAAGATTAATATGTCAGAATGAAATATTTAATACAGAAATTTTCATTCAGCATTTAACTGAAAATACTGGTATCAGATTCCATCAAAGTTTGATTTCTTCCATTACAATTCAGTTCCTACAAACAAATCAGAAAATTAGTAAGATGCAGCTTATATTTTGAGCCTTTGCTCTATAACATGCAAGAGTGAAATATCAAAATAAATTGACATTATTTGGATTTTTCTATATTAGTCTTTTTTAAAAAGTTAAGAAGCTGTTGTCCGATAGCAAGAAGAACGGGCAGTAACTCAAGAGATGGGGGGAACAAGTATATTATCAATTGTACAGATTTTTCTCCTTCACAATAAGGAAATTCATGAAAAATATTTTTCAGGGAAGATGATCAATTCCACATTTAATTAAAACAGGCTTATTAGAAACCAAAAGCCTATGTCAGCTCTTGATTACTCAGTAAACACAGTTTAAAGAAAAAAGATAACTTACATTGCTATCCTCAGGATCTTCTAAACCATCAGGCCGGCTAAGATTACGTGAAGGCTGACTACAGACTACCTCATCTTCTAGCTCCCAAAAGGAAGTTCTAATAGGTGGTCTTTGGATCTCATCAGGATTAAGAGCACCATCCGCTCCATCTGAAGAAAAATAGGTAAAATAAGCGAGAGCAGTTTTTGTTCAGCAGAGCTGGTATTTTGAGATTACAGGTGCACTACCTTAAAAAACAAGACTTCTCACATTTTCTGTTGGTTTATCTTGGCTAAACTGAAGAGAAAAGACCTTTTTCAAAGCATATCTCTAAAACTTGGGTCTACCTTTGCAATTCTCACCAAATCTCATAAAGGCACCGTACGCTAGCATACAGATTGTTGGTAATTAACCATTTCTTTTGAGCCAGGGAGATACAAATTATATCGAAGGAAAAAAAAAAAAAATTTACTGACCTCTTCTTTCCTGAATTGCGTAAGGGTTTCCATACTGCAACACTGGTAGTCTACTTGGCACTGCAGGAATTGGTCCACCTTCCTCTGAATACGGGTTGCGAAAATGTAATGTCTGTTGTGAAATGTGTCCTTCCATCATCCTTCCGTTTTGATTTCCTGGTGTCCTGCCAAGTTCCTAAAGAACGCAAAGTTTCAAATACAGTTAATCCATGGAGTCCTTGCAAAAGGTTTACATTTTTATTAAATAAGTATTTAATTGTTTCATTTTTTTTAAAATATATCTGCTAATCTTCAGATCCTCTTTTCATCTTGATCTTGTGCCAATTTACCATACATACAAAAAAAAAAAAAAAATCGAATTACGATGAAAAGAAAAATACAAAGAAAATATTTTTTAGGAAAACTGAATCTGATGTTTTATCATCAATTAATTCAAATTATATAAACAAAACCACCACATTGTTCAGGAAGTGCCTACACCCTTTTAAAATGAAACTTCACTTGAATAGGTGAAGAACAGCTGAAAGTAATAACAACAACTAAGCTAACGTGCATGAGTGATTAAAAATAAAGGTGCAATTAAAGTCCTCCTTTTAAGTATCATACTCTTCAAGAATACACCATTTTAGTAAATGAAGAACTCATAAATTCATAGGGAATTATGTCAAGCATGTACATGAAAGGTAGGAATTTTAAGAGCTATTAAGTGCACTGCATGGGATCCTCTCTGCTATCTAACAACAGAACGTTGACTTGCTTAATATTAGTTAAGTTGAGCTCAGGATCGTCAGTTCCAGCAGGAAATCGTAGAACATTACAATGCTGTTACTCGATGTCCTTCAAACACACATGCAGAAAGAAAAAGAAAATAGCACAGAGAAGTTGAAAGCAGTCTCCCAACCTTACTACAACAGAACTTTCTTGGAGCTACACTTGCTTGCATGCTCAGTCATTTACGCACACTGAGCTTTGCACCACATTGTTTACAGATGTGTTACATCAAGCTATGTTTAAAGAAAATTACTTATTTCAAAAAAATTTCAAGTTTTCTTTCTTATGGAAGAAAGTTACTTATTTCAAATGCAGAGACCTATTAGATACGTTCACCTAAAACCATACCTAGAGAGAGAAAGATTTATTATCTTTCCTAATTCTTAGTTCCTTTAAAAATCTATTTGCTTTTTAAATATGTAACGAGATAGGTTAACCTAGCACAATTTTGTCCTCAGTTGTTATTCTGCTAGCTGACTAGTGCTGATGTTCCACTTATAATTATTAGGGATTCTATTATCATAGCATCAAAACTACCCTGTATATGGCCAAAGGCTTCACCGTCCTAGTTGCTGCTAACACCACTGCAGTTACTGGATATTTTTCCCTTTGGTGAAGAAAATGCAGCGTTCATTGCTTCACTTGAGTAGCAGTTTGTCGCTTGTAATGACTGAAGAGAGAAGAACGCTTCAGAACTTTGAGAGCTAGAACTAAAGAAGTTGGAACCTTCTTGTTCTTACACTCAAAAAAAAAATGCACAGACTAACAATACAAAAAATGAGACAGGTCAACACATTAAGCAGCAGTCTACATCAACAGCATGAGGCTGTCAACTTCTAAATGAGCATGAAGGAAAGGCTAGTTCACAGCAGCACTCTGAATAGAATACTGTTACTCAGTGGGTATTTACAGAATCTCTCCCCAAAGTGTAACAAACACCATGGAAAATACACAAATATGCACATTTGAAAGCATAACAGAAAAGAAAAAAAGTGTGGTCTCAGGAATCAATTGATGGAATTTGAACAGCAAAGGAAAGAAGGCAGGTAATGATGGGTCAGGAAAGACCTGGAGAGGACCCTGAAAACATGACAAGTAACCTATAATAAATGCAGCAAAGAAGGTAGAAGGGGAGGGTGGCAGTTAAAACAATGAGTTAGGAAAATGCTGTATGTGAATGAAGAACAAGTAAGAGAAGATTTCTCTAGCCAAGTTCTCTATGTGCTTCAGCAAGTGTGACAATTCTATTAAAATTCCAGGCAAGATTCCTGACCTCACGGAGGGCTGGCAAAGACCACATTGCAGATATTTTATATCAGAAGGACTTAGGCAAACCCTTGGATGACAAGAATTTTAAAAAGGGTCAAATTGGAGATGATTCTGATTTTATAACCTGGGTGTGGCAGGCATACCACCAGAAATCACACAAGGGCCCCGGAATACAGATGCAAATTCAGCACCAACCCTACTAGACTGATTCACCAATTCTCTCTCTCACACTCAATCTTTGATAAGATTCAGACACTTTTTTTTAGAGTGAAGGCATTCCAGAAAAACAAATTGTTACTCAAAGTTGGTACTTTCTACTTGTATTAGAAATTAGCAATCAATGCCAGTTTTCACAAACGGTTAATCCAGACTAGGTTACTCAAGTAACACTTACAATATAAGTATCACATGGAAAAGAGCACTTGTACATCTGTCTAATTACAAGCAAACAGACTTTAAATCCATGAGGAGTTGCATTTTCACACATAATTTCAAAATAATTACAAGTCCTGTGAAAAATAATTTGCCCTCCATGAATATAATGATAAAAATTTACTCATTCTCACTCCCCCCCTTCTCTTCATATCTGTTTTGCAAGCCAAAAAAACAAAACAAAAAACAGGAAAAAACAAATAAGATTTTCCTCTCCTACTTTTTTACATATGTATTCTTGCAGTTTGGCAAAGGTATGTGTACAGTGAACTTTCAAAACTCACGGTGCTCATAGTGTTTTTATCCAGAACATAACTTCTGAATTTCTCAAGCAACTTAAAAGGGCCTAACTTATTTAATTGTTAGTTAAATATTTGTATCAGAAAGCCAATTCAATCTTTCAGAAAAGTTCAAACAGAAATCTCCAAAATATTCATGTATTTAAAAGTCTGAAATCTTGCATATAAGCTACAGAGATAGCAATTATTATAAACTACTAAAGGATTTTTATAACATATGAACCGTTAATACTCTGAGCCCATAGTGTGTGCATGCGTGTGCGTGCGTGTGTGTGTTAAAGGCCAGTAATTAAAGTGACTTAAGTGCAGGCAGTGCATCAGCTACACTTCATCCAGAGGAAAATCTCTCTCTTGCTTGTATTTAATAAAAAGGATTAGGGGAAAAACAGCATGTATGACAACATCCGAAAGAATACGTGATTTACAAGTGTGAGCCAAGCAAAAACTCTAAAATGGAAAAGAGAGAAGGAGAGAAAATAGGTATGTTTTTCAACATTTTTTCTTTCTGGTTAGCATTTTCTTCAGGGTACTCTGAGTTTTCGCTTAATATTTGTTAATGTAATGTTAATAAAAACTTCAAACTCAGCAGTGTGTCTTCTTCCCCCAAAAATTTTAAAGCAAAAATCTTAAATTAAGGCTTTGACTAATAACTTTGCGAGAAATAAAATGTCTTGGTTATTAAAAGGAACACACAGCATATTTTTCATAATAACAGGTAAACTTAAGTCCAAACATTAGACTAAAAATATACAAAACTCTTTATCAGTAACTACTCTGAAAACACAAACACTCAAATTAAAAAAAGATGAAAATTTTACATTTGCTCTTATCTAATATGAATTTTCAGGATGCAGACATTGAGGGCTTGGACTCCAACAGCAACATCACAAGCTCCTTTTCAATCAGGAAAAACAAATGCACTGTCTACAAACAGTAGGACAGTTTCCAAAAAGTTTTTTTTTCCCCTAGAGCTTCGGTCTTAAACCCAGTATTTTTTCTTTTAGAAAAATGCTCTAATACAGCACCGCACAATTTCTGCAAAACACCCTCCAAATAAAATATCCTCCTGTAGGTAGGATATAAAACTATGCAAACTTTACTTTAGATTTATAGACTAAATCGCATATATAATTGAAATGGTTAGGATTAAACGATTAGGAGTCTGTCTTAAAATTTTACTGAGTGGATAAAATATAAATAATCTTTGCTCAATACAAAGCAGGAACAATTAATTATCAGTGAAGTTAAAACCTTCCCTTTTAAAACCAATTTCTTCTGCAATATGGAAGCAGTTTAGAAAAAGAGGCGATGGCATTTAATACTTTAATTTTAGCATCACATAAGATTAAAACAGAATGTAGATCAAAGTGACTGTAAAAGGTGCTGTAAAATAGTCTTAGCCAGAAGTTGGACAGCTAGGGTAGAGACCGATTAAAAAAAATCAAAGGCTATACAAGTATGTAAATAAAATAGAAACTAAGTAATTTTATAGGTTTGAAGAGACTGCAAATGAACATTTTCAGCATGCTATGTTTGGTGACATTTATAAACAAATACTGATAATGGAGTATAAATTGAAAAGCTGTTTACTATAGTGTGCTTAACCTTTTAAATCATGGTTCCAGTCTAGCAAAGCACTTTGATTCTTCTTTGTAATGTAAATATCCATAAATTTGGTAGACACAGTTCCAAGCTTTTATAAGCTTCATACAATATTATTAGAGTTGCTCTCCTCCTTATGTGTATTGTTTAGAATTACTCCCTCCAGCTAGACTAGATATATCAAAACTCAACTTTTATTTCACTTTCTTTTGAATTAGAAAAATATGGCAGATAATTATTTAAAAAAATACATCTTTGTTTTTGCATAAATATTAGAGAACTTCAATACTGACTACTTCAGACTCTAGAATTTTACACAACGCTAACTGGTTCAATCTGAAATTAGTTTAATTTCAACTGAGCAGTGTACAAGTTCATGTTTTCAATATATATCTGTTCATACTTGATTATTTCATAAGATGTGGCTTTAAGTAATCTGGACATTCATAACTTTTCCACCATATCATGCAATAGTGTCTGAATATAATAAAGAGATTCTATTATTTCACTTTTCAGTGCAATACAATTTTGATAAATGGTCATATAACATATTAGAAGTGCTTTCCGCATTAGAACATTAGCATTCATATTTCAGAACGAATTTGTCTAGTGTAACAGTAATGGTTATGAAATTGATTAGATAGTGAACTCTTGAAAGTGGCAGTTCATTTTCTATCATATTTAAAAATTAGAGAACTGTTTGTATATCTTTACCTCTTTTCTGATAAAGATCTTTTTACAGTTGTAGATTACAGAAGTCACTACTGCCACACAGATGCTCTGATTATTACAAGCAGTCAATAAGAGAACTGCAGCTGTCAAAAGGATTTGGTTGTATATGCACATCACGGAAAACCTGAAGATTTTACTGCCGATATGCATACCCCTCTAGATATAAGACAACACAGGTAAAAGCAAAGATAATCCTAACCAGTGATGGAGGATAGGGAAGCTGTCAAGATATCTACGTACGCCAAGATTCCAAAGGAAGCAAGGTTTACTAATTGTGCTGCCTGTCAGCTTCTTGAAAATATCACAGAGAGAGACTATCCCAAAGAAATGATACTGCTACAAGTTCTGTGACTGATCCTCCATTAAAGAAGGGAAAGGCTGCAGCACGAGCTCAGTAATTATCTCTTAGGTTTGGCCAAACAGCATATACGCTAAGCAGACATCAGCCTCTAGCCACAACAGGGTTGAACCCCTTTCTCTTGGGAACACGGAGGAGTAAAGTAGGAAGAAGGCTGAAAATTCACTGAAAACCTGTAGAAGAGTCATGGAGCTAAGAAATACAGGACAAAAATTTGTAGGATCTTGTGTTCTGTGAACTACAGAACTAGCTGCAATCTCAAATTATTAACTTGCACAGAATTATTCCTATCTCTGCCAAAAGAAATAATCATTTCATATCCTGGATGGAATAAAATTCTAGACAGGAAAAAATGAAAGAAGTTTTAGTACTGTAAATGTTTTAGATTATATGCAGAAATTATTCTAGAATGCTATTACAGAATAATAAATTACAGTATTTTCCAAAGCTGAGTCAGTTTTGGTGCACTGGTCTACTACGGTTCACATCAACATTATTAACAGAAATTTTCTTGCAGTTTAAAATGATAGTTCATTTTGGCAAAATATTTAAGCATGGAAAACAAAAGTAAACAAATTATTAGTTAAAAATAAACCGCAATTCCTCAACTCTAAGAACCCCACAACTGCTAGCTTGCAGTATTCAGCAGG